CTGAAAGAGACTTTTTCAAAAACATGTAATTCCCAACGAGGTTGAGCTTAAGCGATGTGTTAAGCACCATTCCATAGAGAAAACTTTCCTCTATTATTACGGTCAGTAGCGATTTACTCCTATTTTGTCTCAATCTTTGGCATTTTTTTAGTTTGAGATTTCATAATGCCGTTTGGCTTCCACGAGGTCTCAAACATACTTCTTTAAAAAATCGTCACTCCAAGCGAGGATCAGTTGGAGCCCGGTTTTAAGCACCATCCAGTAGAGAAAACCTTCCTCTATTAACACGGCAAGACGCGATTTAATGGCATTTACGACAATTTTTTAAGTTTCAAATTTCATAGTACAATTGGCCTTTTAGGACTTTTGAGACATTTTTTTAAAAACTCATCACTCTAAATGAGGATCAGCTAGAGTTCTGTTTTAGGTGCAATTTAATAGAGGAAACCTTCTTCTATTCATACTGCAAATAGCGATCTAAGCTCATTTCTGCTTGATCCTTGGCATTTTTTTTAGTTTGAAATTTGATAGTACAGTTTGATTTGCCCGGCGTTTGGAAGAGATTTCTTTAAAAAATCGCCACGCCAAGCGATGATTAGTTAGAGCACGATTTTAAGTTCGATCCAATAGAGAAAACATCCCTCTCTTAACCCTGCAAGAAGCAATTTAGTCGCGTTTTTGCTTAATTTGTATTGTTTCAAATTTCATAGTAGAATTTGGCTTTCAGGGCGTTTGAAACATTTTTTTTCAACTCACGACTCAATGAGGATTAGCTTCAGTTGCGATTTAACAGAGAAACCCTTCCTCTATTAATGTTGCAAGAAGCGATTTAGTCGCATTTTTGCTTAATTATTGAATTTTTTTGGTTAGAACTTTCCTAGTGCCGTTAAGGAGAGACTTTAAAAAATCGCCACTTCAGGTGAAGATAAGCTGAAGCGCTGTTTTAAGCGCCAGTCGATAGAACAAATCTTCCTCTATTAATACTAAAAGTGGCGGTTTAGTTTCGTTTTTTGCCTGTTTTGACTTCGAAATTTTATAGCGCATTTTGGATTTCAGAACGTTTGAAAGAAACTTCTGAAAATCGTCACTCTAAATCAGGATGAGTTAGACTCGTGCTCAAAGCACCATTCAGGAGGGGAAACCCTCCTCTTCTAATACTGCAAGCAGCGATTTAGTGCGATTTTTCCTCAATCCTTGGCAATTTTTTCAGCGTGAGGCAGTTTGGAAGCGACTTCTTGTGCGCAGAAAAACCATTGCCAATGTTAGAATAAATAAGTAAACTTGAAACTGCCTTATTGGCTGAACAGCATGTGAAGCAATGAAGACGTTTTAAATGTTGGCAAACTCACTTCCATGATGGGTTTGCACTGAAAGCGCCATCAGGCTCAATCAATTGACTTTCACTCATTCCCTGCCATACATCGAAACTTCGACGGCCACATCAATTTCAATTAGCGACTGTACACACTCATATAAAAGCCATTAGAGTGGAAATTCCATTATTTTTATGGCCGTATTAAGGAGCAAACACGGATTTTATTAATCTGGATGGCAGTCGCAGAAATATGCGAAGAAACCAGACGAAGTGAGTGTTATCGCAAGTGGCGTTTGTCGCAGCCTTGGGAGTTTATTGGATATTGGTCAATGGAAAAACCCTCATAATTCTGTAAAGGATGTTTTCCATCCGAGTGGCTTCCTCTTGGGTTGAGTCCTTTTTCTCTCCATTTAGATGGATCGCGTCGATAGAACCGACCTGAGTGAGTGCGTGGACACTTTCTTCCCCATACATCCTCCATTGATCGACTCGTTAGTCTTCACTGACGTTGAGGAGCCCAAGGATCCACTTCTGCTCCTCCCATTGGCTTGCCTGCGCTCCTCAATCTCTTTCACTGCCAGCGGAAGATCGAACTCAAAAGGCCCATTATGGCCTGGAATAATCTACGCAAATTTTCCCCAATCAAAGAAGGTCCCAACGTTCACTAACCATGATAGTGGGGTTCATGCCAGTGTGCCTGCCGATCACATGCGGAATTTTCCCTGCAGCCTCTTTAGTGATGAGCAGCAGCCCGATGTCGGGACGCTCCAGCAGGTCCAGGAACATCAACTCTAGCTGGAAATCGTCCATTTTTGGGCCGACCACTATGAAGTTCGGACCAAAACTTTCATCAGTTTGACCAATGCCAGCTGAAACGATTGATGGAGGTGGAAAAGGGTTGATGGAGGGCCAGCTGGGTACCAAGGAGGAACCCCACGCAAGTGTCCTCATCTCCCACAATGGCGATCAGCTGCGGATCTCCAATGTACTCAATTTCGTCGTTGGAGGGTTCGTTGCTCCTCACAGCTTGGTTGCTGGAGAGTGTGAGGCCTTCAAGGGTGTGCGTTCGGCTGTTAATGTGGCTGGACCTGCTCCAGTACTGTTCCATGGTTCCAAAACTGGGATTTTTTACGTTCAGTTGACTGAAATGTGACTGACTGTGTGGGTTCCATTGTTGCATTCATTGGTAACGATTGAGGCGTACAGGGGAAAACCTGCAAAGTTTTTTTCCTGTTTGGGTTAGCTAGAATGTAGCATTTATTCACAGGATTTTTTTAGTTTCTGCAATGTTCTGGGACTTCTCCATTGATATAAGAATTTTGCTCAAAAAATTCTCTGGCATTTTTTTCATCAACAGCTTCCTGAACATTAAAACTTTAAAAAATTCTTCCCGACCTACGAAAAATGGCCCTAAATGGATAGTTACCAAATTCATAGAGCCCACATTCCTCTATTGAATAGTGCTTAGAAAAGCTCTCTAGATATTCCCAGTTTTCAGCAATTAATTTTTTGAAAACAGCCTCCAAACGTGCCAAATCTCATACAGCCTTTTTTAAGATTCAAACTTCAAAAAATCCTGAAAATTAGGGAAATTTCACATTAAGTGCATACTTGCAGGATAAATCAAAATAACATTGCTCTACTCAGAGACTCCATATTGAATCAGCTCTGTTTTGAGTGCGAAATTTTCAAGTCTCATGCTGAAATCGCAATAACAGTTTGAAGCTGAAAACTTAGAAAAATCCCCAAAAATTTACGACAATCGGTACAAAACTGATATTGACCTCATTGATAGAGAAGAGGTTCCTCCCTTGAATAATGCGAACAAGAGCCTTTTAGATGGCGTCAGTTTTGAGTAAAGAATTTTTGAAAAATCTTGCTTCATAGTCCCCAAACTGCAATTTCAATCTTCAAACTTAAAAAAAATCTCARTGGTTTAGKAATAATTCGATACCAGCAGTAGGTATTAATAGACTAGRGCTTCCTCGACTGAGTGGTACTTAGAGGAACCCTTGACATAATCCCAGTTTTGAGAAACAAATTTTTGAAAAATCGTTTCTAGACCTCTGGGCCTTGAACTGAACTTTCAAGCTGCAGAGTTAATAAAATCCCTAAAAATGCAGGAAAGTGAGACTAAATCGATACTTGCCGCATTAATAGAGCAAAGTTTTGTCTATTTAGTGACGTTTAAAGCTGCACATTGACTCAGCTCTGTTTTGAGTGAACATTTTTTTGAAAAATCCTATGTAAACTTGCTGGAGAGCAAACTGCATGTTGAAGCTTCATACTAAAAAAATGCCCAAACTCTACGAAAAATCGCCCTAAGTCGATAGATTCATAAAACTGACTGTCCCCTATTGAATAATGCTGGAAAAACTTTCTAGATATTTCCACTTTTGAGCAATAAATTTTTTGAAAAAACCTTCCAAACGTGCTAAATATTAAGCAGCAAACTAAGGAAAAAATGTCGAAAATTAAGGAAACTTCCGATTAAATCAATACTGGCAGGATGAATAAAAGGAAAGTTGCTCTATTCAAGGGTGCCTAAACCCTCCCGCTTGCTCACACTTATTTTGAGTGTGAATTTTTGAAAAATTTCGTGCTGAAACCGAAACAACAGTATTAAGCTTCAAACGTAAAAAAATCCTGAAATTTAACGAAATACCATGCTAAACTGGTTTTTGCTCCATTGATAGAGGCGACGTTGTTCTATTGGATGCTGTTAAGCAGACCCTGTTAGATTATTCGAGTTTTGAGTACAGAATGTTTGAAAACGCTCGTTTCTTCCATGGATACTTCAATTGCGATCTGGATTAATTTTGAAAATCTTCTCATTAAATTGTTTCCAATGTAGGTGACCTTCTGACCGATAATTATTAACTTTTGTTGATACAAAATGATGTTTTTTCGTCCCGTTGTTGATTTGCACGGGAAAACCAAATATTGACGATTCAACTGCAAAATCCCCGGAAACTTTGAATGCAAAACATGTTCGGCGAGGCGTAAATATAAGCGAATAATGTCGGGCCAAATATGTGATATTTTCGGAATTCATTGGAAAGTTGGCTTGAGCCCCCCTAAGCGGTTTTCCATAGGAAAATAAAGCCGGGATCTTCACAGGCGATCTGATCTATTTAAATGTTTCGTCAATATCGGGGGACTTTTGACCGCTGCTTGGTTGCATAATTGACGATATTAATGCGTTTCCATTAAATCAACTGAACCGGTTTTCATTATTTTTAAAACAAACAGCGTTACTCCTACCACTGGACATGGTGGCAATTTGAGGTAAATGTATATTTAATTACGGATCCATTAAGGGTCAGCGCTAAATCAACCCACTGTGGATGTTAAAAATTGTATACTCAACAAATATTATTAGCTACTGTACCTGATACTTAGCCTTCATATGCTAGGCATGCTTAATAATGAATGAATTTCCATATAATGGGAATGTTTTAGCTCAATTTGAAGCTTCGCGAGCTGTTTTAGAGCTGAGTCTATGCCCGAAAATGTACGAAAAGTCACACTAAATCAATCTTTATTGTTTTAATAGAGTGGACTTTTATCCATTGAAAAGTGCCAACTGGAGGGCTCTAAGTGATACCACTTTTGCCTAACGAATTTTTGAAAAATGTCTTCCTATAGCACAGAAAAAAAATCGGCACTCACTGGATTAATAGAGCAGAGTGTCCTCTATTGAGCGTTACTGGAAGAAAGCCTTTAGATAAACGTGGCTCTGAGGGACACATTTTTAAGTGGATTGGGACTGGACCTAAAATTGCACTTTCAAGCTCCAAACTTGAAAAATTCTCAAAAATTGTTAAAACGTCACACTATATCGACACTTGCAGGATAAATACCCACACGTTTTCTCTATCGAATGGTGCTTTAAACAGACGATTAGCTCAGTCATAGTTTAAGTGACAAATTTTTAAAAAAACTCTTGCAAATTTGATGAAAGCAAAAAAGCGTTAATAAAGTTCTAACTTAAAAATTCAGCGAAAATGTACGAAACATGACACTAAATCAATATTTGCGACTTTAAAAGAGTGGGCCTTTTTCTATTGAAAAGTGCCAACTGGAGCGCTAGAGGTGATCTCACTTTTGAGTAAAGAATTTTTGAAAAAAGTCGTCCTGTAGTGCGGAAAGTCAAACTGCATTTCAGGCCTCAAACTTCGAAAATTCCCAACAGTTTAAGAAATACTAAATTAAATCGGCACGTACTGGATCAATAGAGCACAGTTTCTTCTATTGAGTGATACTAGAAGAAAGCCTTTAGATAAACGCGGTTTTGAGGGACAAATTTTTGAACAGGCTGAAGCTTAACCCACTTTCAAGCTTCAAACTTGAAAAATTGCCAAAAATTGAGAAAAAGTTGCACTCTATGGACACTTACACAATAAATACCCATAAGTTTTCTCAATTGAATGGTGCSTARAACAGTCGACCAGCTSCATCRCAGTTTGAGGGGCGAATTTTTAAAAAACTTTCGCCAATATGCTGAAAGCGATAAAAACATTTTTAAGCTTCAAAGTTAAACAATCTCCGAAAATTTACTAAAAGTGACACGAAATACATATTTACGCCTGCAGTAAAGTAGATCTTCGTCTATTTACCGATGGCAAAGAAAACCCTCTAGATGGTCCCATTTTTGAGGAACAAATTTTTGAAAAATGTCTTCTCAGAGTGCAGAAAGCCAAACTGCATTTCAAGCCTCAAACTTCCCAACAGCTTAAGAAATTCAACAGCAACAAAAAATTCCCAACAGTTTAAGAAATGCGAAATTAAATCGGCACCCACTGGATTAATAGAGCAGAGTTTTGAGTAAAAAATAAAATTTGAGGGAAGATTTTTTGATAAATGGTGTTCAAACTGCTGGACGACTGGCTTTCTAAGTTGAAGCTTGAAAATGTATTTGCGTCTCCAACAAACCAGCAAGATATTTTCCAAACATTCAATACCCAGTTTTTTTGTCCCCTTTGGATAGAATTTAGCGAAAAAAATCTGCTAGATATTTTTCATCAATTTGCCCCTAAAAATGAAGGTAAGTTAATGGGTTATTTTAAGCACCGTTTCATAAAGAAAACCCTTCAAACTGTAAGGGCCGATATAATCCGAGTTTTTCTATATATTCAGCATTTTTGACTTGATGCTCAAACGTGCAGTTTAAAGCATAACAGGTTTGGAAACGATTTTTCTAAAATTAATTACTCAAAAACCAGGCTCAGGTTAAGGATTCAATTTAGTACCGTTCAATAGACGAAAATGTTTTGTCAATTTCCTACTCATGCTGTTCTCCCATCTGCACTGTTCAATTTTTGTGCCGTTTTTGTGTCATACTGTCGTTTCCATTTAGTGCCCTTTTAACGTGTCTTCATTTACTTTGTTCAACTTTATTTGTTCACTTGTCTATATTCACTTTCTTGTTCAGTAGAGAAGTTACTTAATGAATTCTTCAGGTTTTTGGTCACTTTTTCCTCATTTTTTGGATTTATCCATAGATAGAGCAGAGTTTCCTCTATTAGGTGCTACTGGAAGAAAGCCTTGAGGGACACATTTTTGAATGGGCTGGACCTGGACCTTAAATTGGACTTTCAAGCGTCAAAAAATTGCAAAACTTGGGACACTTGCACTACCTATAAATACCCAGAAGTTTTCTCCATTGAATGGTGCTTTAAACAGACCATTAGCTCAATCATAAGTTGAGTGACGAATTTTTGAAACGGCTCAATCAAAAAAACAAAGAGTGATAATGCCCCAAACAGGCTTTCGCTTTTAGCGGCAAACTTGAACAGAAACAGTTAAAAAAATTGCGCTAAACGATTACATAAACATTATTAACTGTTAATAGATTGGAATGATCCCAAACGGTGCAATTTGCATATGTACATTATGGAGCTGTTAAAGCATGTACTAAGGCGCAGTCTGAACAAACACGTTACCAAATAAGGCGAAAATCTAGAAAGATTTATCTTCGAGAATTCTTCGAGCCCATTTCATGTACTGGCTGTGAACAATAAACCATTCCCATTGGCTGCGGCAAAAGATACGTTTCAAAATCTCAATGTAAAGTGGAAGTGTAGCAGATGGTGTTGAAGAAGAACGAAGCTGAGAAGCGAAAAAAAGAGCCTGAAGAACACAATGAATCAAGCAAAGTGTCTTGAAGTCATTAAATTTG